CATGATCTTTGCCTTCTAGAAGAACATACTATATACAAATATTAGTGCAATATTTGCCAAGGGGGTGAGCAATGGTCCAAAGTAAGGAGAACTCCAAATCAAACATAGCCTGTTGAATAATGATTGCAAGCCTCTTAACTGAAACTCGTCCTAATGAGATGCCTGCACTGCAGGCTAAACTTAGTAACTGAGTGGGAGGGCTAGATGGTAAACATTTGTCTTCAGGTCCAAGCATCATGATGGAGAGCCAAATATTTCCCTATCTAGCCTCTGTTTTACCAAATGATTACTTACTAGTCTTACAAATTTAAAATTATGTTTGAACCAGGATAAGAATAAATTACATATCTAAGAAGCACATCCACTGCACATGTGCATAAAAGGTTCTATGAAAACTTTTCCCATCTCATCTTTTTTTTGCTATTTTTCTTTTCTTTTTTTTTTTTTTTTTTTTTAAATAAAAGACATTTTTCTTCAAAAAAAATATGCTGCTTACACTAAATAGGGCTATGTTTGGTACATCAATTGCACTAATCGGATCACCAGGTATGTTACTGGCTTCAATAAGATTGGGCCAGGAATGTTGCTGGCACCAATCAAATTACACCAGATCTAAAGATTTCATCATTCAGACAGTGTTACTGGGATTTGTTTCATTTTGCATAGTCACATGCAAAATAATTACTTTTGATGTTCAAAGGCAACTTTTTCTGTGCTGTATGATATCAAGATGCTGCATAATACCTGTTGTACTGAATTACGGTCAACTCGCCAACGGCCCAACTTGCCGACGCCAACTCGCCGACGTATAAAATCGAGTAGAGACGTCGGCAAGTTGGTCGTCAATCCAATACAACTTATTAGAAGTTAAACATACAGAAAATTAAACGATATTTAGTAAAAAAACACTGGTGAACATTGGTGAACATCTAACAGAAGCTTAAACATTGGTGAACATCACCAATGACTATAACAGCTTAAGACGCAAACGAGTTATTGTGCGACAACAACACCGTAAAGACTCATCATGTCAATCGCTCAGATTTTTTAATGAAAACTTGGCTTTCTTGACAAGATCTTTAGTAAAAAGCAATTCTTTTTATTTGCAACAAAGTTTATAAGGAACTCAAGGCGAATAAAGTAAAGTAAACATCACCAATGACTCAAACAGCTTCAAACGCGAATGAGTTATTGTGTGACAACAACACTGTAAAGACTCATCATGACAATCGGTCAGATTTTTTAAGAAAATTTGGTATAATAAGTTGTATTGGATTGACGACCAACTCGCCGACGTCTCTACTCGATTTTATACGTCAGCAAGTTGGCGTCGGCGAGTTGACTGGTTACCGTTGTACTTGAGGATTACAGTACTACCACAGCATCAGTAGCAGAGATAGGTATTTCTGTTTTACTTATTTAATTCCACAGTGACAAGGACTGGTACAGTATGTTTACATAATTTGTGCTTCCATGTATATCTGATTGTTTGTTTTTAGAAGTTTTCGATGTTTTAAATTGCATTTAAGCAATACAGCTTTGTCATAACTTGTAACTTTTGTTTAGACATGAAATTTCTATTCAATCTTTCCTTACTGATAAATTTCTCACGCACAAAAATGCTGTTGTTAGCAAATTTTCTAGACATTCTTTGCACCTTGCCATTTTCAACCAAACAAATTTGCCCTTAGCTGCCTGGGACTTTGCCACACCACTTCTTGTATACAACCTTGCCTGTTATCAGCTTATAAAAAACCTGCATTTTAATATGTGTTCCACAGAGGCAAATTCCAAACCAAGATGACACAGAAAAATGATCCTTGTCTCTTTGTTCAACACATTTGAATTACTTCAGAGAGCAGAAACTACTGGATGTCTTTGGTTGGGGTTTAGTGGAGATAATAAATTGAGTTTCCAGTTTGCTTTGCAGTGTGATATTGCATGGTCTGTGATGGAACAATTTTGATTTTGTGAATGACAGAGGAACAGAAGTAAGCATGGCACTGATGCAGTTTATTTTTGCTCATAATCACAAAGAAAAATGAGATAATAGATTACAAAACACCTTTTGTCTAAATTACTGGTACTTCAGACGGGTTATTTGCTCTTTATTAAAGAACAGTAAAGTGATATTTTTGTTGAAATGTTAATTTACAAGGCCTTCCAAGGGGGCTTTTGATGTTGCTATGTGGCTCATTTACCATCACCTATTTGCTTAGGGACAAATGTTGCTGTCACTTTTTCCCTTGAATAAAAATGTTGCTGTCATACTGAATTTGGCACTACAGTAATTTCTGACTTGTGCTAGCAACCATACATAAATTTCTATTGGCTTAAATAGAATTAAAAATTACAGTGATCACTTCAAGGCCTCATATTTGTGTTTCAATTTTGATTGGTGGCTTAGATCTCTAATAGCTTCCTCACTCATGTACTCATCTTTACACATAGTCATGAAGAAAACAATTCCCTTTGGATAAACGTCAAATCATTGATTTGATAAGGAAGTCAAGCAAGGGCCAATTCAAACATCCTGTCATTGTTGTATGGCACTCAACTGATAGTGTCGACAGGCCCACACAACTCCTACCATTCACGAGCAATTTAAAATCTACTTTCTTCAAAATTTTAATAGTTCTGACAGAATTTCTTTTAAATACTTTCCTTACATATTGCTCATTAAGGAGCCATTTCTCCATCAGTGTTATAGAGATTAGTTAAAAACATTGTAGCTTAAAAAGATGTTGAAAGGTGTTGACAGGCCTTCACGAACACTGCCATTTGCAAGTGATTTTGAATCTTCCACTTCCAATCAGTGACTCTGACCCAAATATCTTTGCAAGCCCCTAGACAAGGGGTTTTGTATAAGGGCCTAACCTGTAAGCTGATAGGCACCAGAGGCGCAAGATTTTAGGGAGGTCCAGAGGCATGCTCACCCAGGAAATATTAAACTATTAGGTTGTGTATTGAGGGCCAGTTTTTGAAGACCTTTTTTGTATCTTGCTTTCTATTAAATCCCTGTTATCTAATAAACAGACTTTCCCATGGAGGAGGGGGGTGTATGTAGCACCTGTCAAACCATCTCCCTATTGGGTCTGCTTCATCTTGTCAGAGAGCGTTGACAGGCCTCACCATTTGCATGTGAATTTAAATCTTCTCAGCTTCACAGTTTAGTTCTGACCAGGATATCTTTTAATGACTTTCTCTTGCAATGTGATAATAGAGATGGCTTTGAATATTATACTACTATGCAGTTGCATTATAACATAAGATCTAGATTTTTTCTACTCTTCCTATCAAGCAGGGAGTGACTCTTGGCTAATCTTGCTACTGCAATAACCTAGGGTTCTTTAATTTAGTGTCCTGCATATCATGTATTCATTTCATGTTAGCATTTGTGCATGCTGTAAGCTGGCTAGCCCCCAGCCCATAATCTTAATGTTGTTAAAGTCTGTCCATACAATGAATGGTCATGGATGGGATTATTGGTCATAATCAATTGACTGACACTGCTAAATCTTAACAAAACTTTGTTAAAGTAAAGGCCATCATATAAAGCACTCTAAGAATTATCTGCAATTATTGCCCAATTACCTTTCTCATCTTACCTAAAGTGACTCATTTTATCCTTTTTTACACTTCTTCAGAATGCTGTGGGATTTCTTCTTATCTTTCTCCATTTCATTCCAATTACGAAGATAATACAAGAGTCACCAGGCCTAACAATAATTGGTATTTGGCATGCAAACACTCACATGACCCTTTGACTCCTGTGAGTGACCAAAACAGAAATTTCTCCTTACTACAGCTATACGATGTCATGCGGACAAGTAATGAGAATAAAGAAAAATACCAATTATGGGATTACTAATTGATCCAATAGCAAATTCTCCAAACTAGCATAATGAGAAATCATTTGGCAGACTGTTAAGAGAATTAAAAAAGAATTAAAGGGTTAAGGGCGATTATCAATCACATTAAATGGTTTATTAACTTGTTGATGGTTTATTGGCAAAGTAAGGCTGGTAAGATCATAAAAAAGTCACACTGTCCTGATTATGATGTCTCTGTTAAGAAAATCAAAGTGATAAATGTTGCTTTATCCAAATTAAAAATGGATTGTCACTATTTCAAAATGTTGCTCATTTTCTGTCAATTTTTGTCCACTGTCAGTGCATTGGAAAACGATTGCTGCCACATTTTTAAGCAATGTCACTTGTTGCCATGACCCCTTGAGAGGCTTCATTTATAAATCAACACTTTTTTACTATCATAAAAATAAAAACATCAATTGCATTTAGTGCCCTAATCCAACCCATAAAATAAAATGCAAACAAACCATGCAAACGCAGGGCTGGACGGCTATGAAATCTTGTAACGTAAAAATATATTCAGATGTATTACTGAATATAGCTTAAGGCTAAACATAACAAAATGTTTTAACTATTGCAAATATCATCTCAACGTCATCAATTCCAATCAACGATACCAAGCACCCTCCAATGATATGCACGGGGTTTAGTGCACAAAACATATCCTCAGTTCGAACAATCAGATAACTCAAAGATAATCCACAAATTAATTGTGACGATGTTTAAACAGATAAGCAAGTTTGAAGTCTTTCTGAATACTTTACAAATGCGTAATGGCTCGTTATGTTAGGCTGACTACACTGTTCAAAATGATTTATGGTTCACATTACAAACGGTGCGAACCTTTGTATGCACAGGAAGTTCGCACCGTTCCAAACTTCGCCTCAAACGGTGGCTGCAATATTGACATTGTATAGGGTTACAATAAAAGATCTTCTAGCTTCCTCATATTTGCATCATAAATTATCAATTCTTCGCAATTTTAACTATCAAAAGAGTGAAGACCAAACGAACTTCATAACATTGCAGCAATAAAATTTGTTTTTTCCAGAAAACATTGGTAAGCTTTCAAACTGGCAAATAATTTCATTTTGTGGAGCGAGTTTGTACGATATAGATTGCACTTACCTGTCTACCGGTTCAAACTCTGGGGTCTCATCTCCCAATAACCTTTCTTTCGCATCACGATCAACTTCCTTTTTCCTCCCCATTTGCTTTAGGCCACATCAAGTTCTTCTGTAAACCCACGACAATTCACTTATCATTGAAGCCTCCTCAACCACCAGGAGAGGAATGATTCCTCATAGAAATGTTTTCGGTAAAACACAATTTTTGAGTCCGGAGTGTCCGTTTTCATTCACGTGATTTGTAACGCTAATGGACATGAGAAAAAAAATAACACAGAAATACGAATCATTTAAAATAAACAACAATGCACACTATTTGTAAAGGTTACAAATGGTAACGTAACGCATGCGCCATATTGCCGCGTAGACGCGGTAAAATTCTAGCCAATTACAGTTCGCCCTAAAAAAACAGTGCGTGTGCCATAGCATACTTTTACATTGAAGATGATCTCTGCAATCTTATTTGTGCGTTTCAGTATTTATCAAATGCATTCTGTGCCTAATTCCTTGTTAGAGGACAAGTCGTGTTACATATCCGCGATCTCCGATTGGCTAACACACGGGACACGCTGAGAGCATACACCCGCAGTGCAAATCTATTTGAGGCTCTTGCAAAATAACCTAATATCTTTTTGTTGTTAAATTGTAGATGGTTTTCAGTTGGCGCAAAATATTTTGTTCTTGCTGCTTAGTAAGATAAGAAAGCTAGATGAATCCATTGTGTTTTTAGGTTTTTTAATTCCAATCTCCATGTAGATTTAGGAGGGTAGCAAAGCAGAGGTGGGGTCGAGATGGGGCGATCCTGATACCATTTTACGCACGAATTCTAGAAATATCCACGTGGCATATGTGGTTTGAACTGTAACTCACGCGTCACGGATTTAAAAAGGGGAAATTTTATACCTCACCTCTCCTTGTCTCTCAGTAAAATATTACTTTTGGGCTTATGAAGCATCACGTACACTCCGTTTGCAACCCTCTTTTAAAAATGTTGAAAGAACTATTAGGACAGAAAGATAGTGATGACATAACTTGAAAGACTGACAAACCCTTGTCCTCAGCGAAGCTAGGTGTCTATAACTGCAAATGTTAAAATCCTATATCTTATCTAATTACAGTCAAACCTGTTTAAGCGATCACCCACGGGAAATGTGGGGTGACCGTGTAACACAAGTTCACGGCTAAAAATAGGTTCCACAGATTAGGGGTAGAATAAAAAAAAAAAGATAAAAAACGCTATTTATGGCACAATCGATCACTCACTGCACAAAAACTCGCTAAAAAAATAAAACCAACATTGATTTTGGGAGAGAACATGAACTGAATTGTACTTGAAAGATAATTATCAGTTTTAATGAGTGGCTCCTCTTTTAATAACCGTTCAATACTGGTGGGAGAAATTACAAACAGGTCATTAGGACTCACTCGAAGGTGACCGCGACTGCTTAAGAAAGGTGAAAATTGCAGTGATTCAGGACTTTGACCACCAACCGCTTTGTGAAGGGTGACCGCTTAATACGGTGCCGCTTAATATAGGTTCAACTGTACTTGCACTCTTGTTTTACTTTCCTTCAGGTAGGGTCACTTGTAAACAGTAAAATAAACAAACTATAAACATGAGTAAATACTTTCATGAAAAATCAACGATACAATCCAATAGACAGTCCAAAAAATTGTACTTGTGCAATTTTCTTGCAGGCATCAGGAGCTTAGCTGTGTCACATCAAGGGTCAAATCCAAACTACTTGACCCTTCCCTTTCAGAGAAGAAGGGTCAGAAACACCCCAAGACCCCCCTCCCCCCAAAGGACAAGTAATGGTCTACATTCTTGATTACTACTGACAGTGACTTGACAAACTTGAAACAATTTTTCTGACTTGTTTCCAAATTAATATACAGCACAATTTTAATAACATTTTGCATTTCAAAAGCCACAATGCTATTAGCTTTGTATTACTCTCTGGGCTTTGCAACTGTAAGTAAGCTTCACACCAATCTAACGATTTTTTCAAATGGAGAGTAAGTTGAAAGCAAAGAAAAAACTCAAAGAGCAACAGAGCTTATTATCATTTTGATATAAGCCTTGTGTACATATATTAAGTTTTGTTCTGCCGAGACAAACTCTTTGAATTTATTTCTTTCTTAAATCTTCATAAAATATATATATATGAAAAAAAAAACAACTACTGAAAAAAGCAAATCCACTTTTTGTCTACTCATAATACTGTAATTGCAGCACTAAAAGAAAAAAAGAATCTCATCAAAATACCACATTTCCTGGCTTCCAATCTTGTTCTGTAAACTGTTTTAAAACATTAGATAAGAATCTGTTTATGTACATGCTGATGCTTAATCTCAGGCAGTAACAATAAACCATAGAGAAAGGAAACTACTAGACGCTGCTTGAGGAAATGCTTAACACTACTTTTTGAAATACATGGACTAAAAAATGAACTAGGAAAGTTTCCTCAAACCCTTATTTTAGAGTTCAAGTATGTTGTCCCTTTGTTCCTAAATTTTGTAAATTGTAATTCAAGATCAATGGTTATACTTTCTGGAAATACAAAAAAATAATTCTTTATACCTGCCAACCTTTTTTAGTCAGTAATTATTTTGTGTGGGACACAGAAGAAAAAGGCAAGATAACTACACACTTCCAGGGATATTGAATGCAGCAGCAGCCTTTACAGAATCTCCAGTTTTCTCCCTTCTAACACCAGAGGTTTTGGGTGAAGTATGATCATTTTACAATCAAGACTGTAATAACAAAATAATGATTACTTCTACTCTGGTTGTCAAAATCTCATTCCCTACTACTGACAACAGTCCTTCTCAGGACTGCCCTCACCTAGACGATAATCACAAAATAAAGATTTACCCCAAGGTTCAAACCATTTACAGAATAACATAAATGTTTGTGACATCTATGAGCTATTAATCAGGAAGGCCATTAAGCTGACATGAAATGAAAATTTTCTGATCTGCTTGACTCAGAGTTGGCAGGCACAAACAATATGGCTGCTACCAGCTAAAAATCTCCGTTAATCAATAGGATCCACAATCAGTGGTGCAACATACTCAGACCACCTCTGGCCAAAGTGAAAAGAGGGTTGTCTTTTGAATGTAGCATAACACTGAAAGAGAAGAAAATAAATTCAATCAGATTTCAATTAATAAAAAAAAATATGCCACACATTTCTATGACTATTGATAAATAAAACTGACCATAGATGCCCAAGCAGTGATATTTTAAAATTTTCCATTTACATGTTTATTTATTATACACTAAAAATTTCACTTTCTGTCATCCATCTCAATTTGAAAATGATTACCATTACTTAAGAGGCTCTTGATCATTTAACAAATTCTCCTTGTCAGCATCTCAAGAAAATGTATGGAGAACAGTACGGAGAATATGCATACTGATGATAGAGTGTCAGGGGTTAATACTAAGCTCATGCAGTGATTGGTCGAGGAAACTATTGCCATTCTCCTCTCAGTGTTTCAGAAACAAAACTTGAGAAAAATCTTGACATCAGGGCTCACAAAAATATTTCCATAGATTCTTGTTGAACCACATTTGCATTAACCTCCTTGAGATATTCTAAAACTTAGTTCTTGGCTGTTGTGATTTCTTTCTTTGGTTCTGCATTTTGGTTGCACTTAATCAAAATGTCCACTAAGATCTTTTCTCACCAGTTCAGGTCTGTGGGCTCCAGGTCCTGGTTTTAGGGTTCGGTCACCAGGCGCATTGTTACGAGCCGTCATGGAAAATATGGGCTTCCTGTTCCTGTAGATATTTGGATCAGTCACTTTATATGTGCCTGGTCCAGGAGTCTGCATACAAAGATGGTGAAAATATAGAAAGATGAGAGAGAGTAACAATAGTATTTATTCCCGAGGAAAAGTAAGACAAACTGTATATTAGATTCCTTTCTTAAATGTATTTGTACACCTAAAAGCAATTAAAACCATGATACTATACAATTTGATCAGGATGCTCATACTTCATAGCACATTGTAGTATATTATTTGTTTTGGAGCTTTATCAAGGAATCAAGGATGTAGAATTGGGGGGGGGTCCCCCATGATTATTTGCCTGGTAGAGGTGATGATAGTTTCCATTATACCATTAGATAACATTTAATTTCCTCCTCCTCAGCATTTCAATTTCATCAGGTTTCCTGGCATGGGTTGGGAGAGAGGTACCAAAAGAGTTAAAAGCTAAGACACTGGAGGCAAACTGTCCTAACATGCACAACATGAGTACTATCAACATTTTGAATCAGTAAAACTCTACCTCATACAATCTACAAACACCAACCTTCTGCAAATCCTCATGAAAACTTCCAATCTTTGATCTACTTGTCATAGAGAAAGCAGCTGAAGACTTCTTTCCTACGGCCTTAGGACCAATTATTGATGGCATGTTGTAATTATTCGGGGCTGGGTTGTTGTCCTGCTTTCCATATGGAGTGCGCAAACCAAAGGAATATTGCGGGGGAAAGGCATGTTTAAATACTGGCTTTTTCTCTGCCTTGTAATCCCCTTGGAGAAAATAACCACAAAGTGAAAGTCACAATAAATTAGATATCCTGTTAAAAACTAATAATTTAACTGCCAATGCTCTCACAGTAAGCATGTTTCTCTAATTATTTTAGCCAATACCTAGATATTATGAACCTTTCATTCCCTAACATCAGTATCCATATTCTCCATACTCTTCTCTGTACATTTCCTTAAATACTGAAAGGGAGAATTTGTTAAACAATCAAAGCTTCTTAGGTAGGTGATCATTTTCTTCATTCTCATAACCTAAATGAATGACTTAGAAGTATTACTGTGAGGAGAAAATAGATACTGGACATTCAGAGGAGTTAAAAGTGTCGTCTGTGGGCTGAAAGGCTTAGATTAAGTATTTTGGAGGTTTTTCCGGAAAAATAAAGGGAGGGGAGGGAACAAATAATCGAAATTCTAATAATTTCACTTAATGAGATATCACCTTTAAGAGGATTCCACCACAAGAGAAGATACCAGTAAATTATTCGGGAGGGAGTTAAAAGTCTGCGCTTATTGTAGATATTTGTTTAGATTTAGGTAGATCTTGAGCCTATTGAGCGCGACAGTTTACCAGACATGTGTGCATACATACTTTGTTCTTATGGCGTCTCCAAGGACGCGCCGGTTGTGGAACAAGAAATTAACTCCGCGTTCCATTGTTTTCTTACACAACACTACAGGATAAACAAACTCTACAATAAATGGAGCTAAGAGAACAAACTGAACTCACATGGAGCCGGAGTTTGAAATTTCCCTTGCAAGTTTGTTCGCGAATGGAGAGTATACTTCGGTGTCCCTTCCATTCCGAATCGCGTAACATCTTCTATTTTGTATTTAGGACCAGGTCCTGTCAACTGTTGATTTTTCCACGTTCTTGCGCCAAAACTGAAGGCTGGTTTCTTGTATTTCGTACAATCATGTCCAATGTAACCTGTAGATCCTGGTAAAACATAAGCAGCGGGTCCCGGGCCACGGAACATAGCTCCGATCATAGGACGTCTTCTCTCCGTGTCCGCCATGACGACCAAAGTTTGCCGAACTTTTCACCCAAAAATGAGTAATTAATGCTCAGCTTTCCTACTCTTGAACGTTACAGAAAACCACTTTTCTTATACTTCTATCTAGTTTTTCTACAGTTGAGCTGGGACATGAATTAAACGACAACGAACTACCAAAAATCTTACCGTAAACACAAGTACCCTACCCTATCTCTAAGGAATGGAACGCAGAAGATTAGCATTGCCTAATGAAATATGACACTGTTAAATAATCTTTCTTTTCCTGTCACGCACGGGCGAATCAGTCAGATGTTAAGAGGATTAATTATTCATTCCAAGAATTTGAACCAATCGCTTTCACGCGGCTTACTCTCTCTCACCCACAAAGGGAAAATCCATTGGGACAAGCACTTTGTTTCAAAAGACAAAACGTCAAAAACTTGTTTGACAACTATAAACCCCACTTTGTGTCTTCACCCAATGTTGCTCTCTCAAGATTCTTACAGACTTCATGCCTTTTTGGAAACAAAATTATAATTTTTCCTCAACTTTTTTGACTAATTGGACAAAGATTTATAATTTTCTTGAGAAAATTGGTTTGCAGTTGAGAAGATTGAAAAGATACTGTACTGTAATCAAAGTGCTCTCTTGAACATCAATGTTTACCTGTTAGACAAACACGAAGCAGTATGTATTCAAATAAAAATTATTAAAACCTGCCACTTTCTTCTATCACTCAGACATTTCCACATAAACATAACACAATTCGCATATCCTTGAAAGAGGTGTAAGTCTTCCTTGATAAACTTTTATCACAAGGTTAAATCCTTTGCATTTCAACCTATTTAAAACTGCTCTTGAACAAGATCTCTAAAAGCAATCAGAAAAAGGCATTTAAAATTTCAAACACTTCACCTGCTTTTTTTGTGGACAGAGCTTTTTTAATAAAATGCACCATTGCAAAATAAATCCTTTTTTTTTGTTCCAACAAACTGCGAGCTTTGCAAAATATCATTTTCACCAAGCACAAGAATAAACATCAATTAGTTTAGGAGAAAATGAAGATTTTAATCACCATGTTATTAATAACCCTTCAACTCCCAAGATCTGGTTGTTAATTCTCCCCTTCAGCTGCTACACATTTCCTTGTGGATTAGTAACAAGAATTTGGTGTTAGATCAAAATAACAACTTCTCTCTGATAAGTTTGCATATTCTCATAACCTCTTTGCAGGATAATATATGTATATTATGTGGAGAACTTCAAAGTTTATCACTTCTGGGCGGTTCACTAAGTTAAAAACTAGAGTTACCTCTTTGCTGGATAGTGTATGTATATTATACGGAGAAGTTAAAAGTTTATCTCTTCTGGGAGGCTCACTAAGTTAAAAACTAGAGGTACCAGTACTTATCTATATTTTTACAATTTTAACAATAATGGATTTAATCCAATGTCAGAATGGAAAATCACCCTCTTCATTCCCTTTCTCAACACAGTTCTAACCTCTCCCAAAACATTCCCTGCACATTTGTAAAACATGAAAAACAGAGGATTGAACAGTCAGTTGAAGAAAGCTTATTGATTTTATTCTTTCTAAGCAACAGCAAATATTTACAATATAACTCATGACTATGTCAAACCACTTGGATAATTGATTTCCTTGCAAATTAAGCACCCGTGCACCTATTCAACTATTTCGCTCAAAAGAGAGACGCTTATCGGAAGATGGGTGCTTAATCATGGGGAGCCCTTATCAAGAAACTATTAAGCTGTATTGAATCCACTGTAGTTAAAACTGAAAAAGTTATAAATAAAGTGGCAGTAGAGGCAGGTTTTCCTTGTCTTCCTACTATTTAAGAAAGTAAAAGAGGAAGGGGGCACTTGTTTCATATATTGGCCAAGGGGGTTGGCATTTATTTAGGGGAAAGCGCTCAGTTAGAGTGAGGCGCTTTTTGAGGAAATACAGTATATGATTGGCAACTCAAAGATATAATGTTTTGTTGGTCAAGATTATGCAGCAAAGCTAATAGCTCTTGCTTTTTTTCTGACAAACATCTTTCCAAGGTACTCATGTCATGATAGTATACATCTAACTTATGCTATGGTGATTTAACTAGTTAATTTTAGAACAGGAAGATGAAGTCTAATATTTTATAAGGGGCAACAGACATCAATGCCTTGTCTTTTGCTTAAATATTCCAAAAAAAAAATTACAGAGGAGCAGCAAATGAAAATTACACAGTCAGTGAGAATGTCACTGTAAACACTAGAAAAGCCAAATACTTAATAGTTATCATTTTCACAAAACTTTCCACTGGAATAGTCAAAACATTATGGATAGAGATGTCTGTATTATTTTCCTGTTGAAGATTTCTAGCAAAAACATCCATCATCATAAAAGTTTTGATTCTCTTATTATCATACATGAAAAAATTTCATGCGTCTGACTGGCTAAAAACGAGAGCATTTTTATGTAATACTGGTGCAAAGTTGTAACAAGAGTGCAAAGTTGTAACACAACTGAAAATTACAAGTAGCGACAGCATGCTGCCAATTTTTTTCCATCATGAATTTTGTGTAAATTATTGACAAGTAACAACATGAATTATTGTGCAATTTGGCGTAAATAGGCTCTTGTAAATTTTTTCAGAGACTATAAATTGCACTCGCCCTCCCAGCATGTGCAATTTTGTTGCCTTTGAAAAATTTACTTGTGCTTATTAACACCAAATTGCATGAGAAATCATGTTGTCACCCATAATAATTGAACCTTAAGAGCTGCTCTTACATTACAGAGTGGTTCATGACAAAGATGATAATGATAAGACATTTCATTAACTTTAATTCTATTGTCTACATCTGTCTAGGCAGAAGTCATTCAGCCTAATTTTTAAAAAAAGAAAAAAGATTGTTAAGCCAGCTATGTACGCCTATCTTCTCCCTGAGTTGACTTTTTCCAGAATGTTCAAAAACTTTCCTCTTGTCATTTCTCTGGCTGAAAGAAACAAATAAAAAGCCCATTCTACCTGAATTTTATAAAGAGTCATTATAACAGAACTTCAAATAATGTTTGACATCAAAAATTATTTTCTTGATAAAAATTAAAAATTCAATGCTTGTCCTACAAAGAAAACTTTGAAATGTTTTTCTATGCATCAGACACAATTTCCAAGACAAAAGTTCACATATTTCATGGACACTTTATTTCATGGAGCCTGACTTCTACAAAGCAGTTAAAAAAATAATTGATTAATTATTGGAAGAAGTAAATCAGAATTATCAAAATAATCCAATGAAAGCCCTCACCTTCATCCAGACCAAGCTGAAAAGCTAGGTTTTGGAGTCCCCGCACTTTCTCCATCAGTTGAGAGGTAGTGAGACTTCCAAATTCTATGATATAAAACAAAAAGATCTAAACACGAAATCAATTCATATATATAAACCTGCTAAAAATAAATCAAACATTTAATTTCACTCAAAACTGGAAATGGCTGCTGTACAAATTTATTTCCATAATTAATATATATTAATTTTTCATCACCAGTTAAGGTAAAGTAAAGTGAAAGTTGCCAGTTAAAGATGGCAGACTAGCTGGTGGCTTTGGCTGAATACTGTCTTTTACTGACAGCTTTGAATCTATAAGTTTGAAAATGTATGGTTGATGGAGGAAGGGTATGAATCAGATCTTTAAACTGACTGTCAGAGATAACTTTACCTTGTAACATGTCCATGTCATCCTTCTCCAGTTCAGCCAACCACTTTGGTGGAGTACTTGATAATGAAAACGGCTACACACCCATTAAAAAGGATTAAATACTGCATTGAATGGCCACAAGCATTGAAAAACACTTGTTATCATTTTAGTGATAACTGGCCAGGATAACACCAAGTCTGGTGTCTACTTTCTAGCATAAAATGATTTATAAAAAAAATCACTTTTTAAAGTAAATTCACACTCTTGTGCAAAGATGTCACCTTTGGGTATTACAGTGAATTATACAATATATTCATATGTATGTTCAGTTTTCAGCTTTTGTATCAAAAAGGTTCAAATCTAGTTTCCTGGAATTCTTTCTGTGGATCAAGATCAGTAGTAGGGTGATATCCTGCTATAAACATAGATTCACTCTTCACATCCTTAAACATCAGTATGTGTAATCTCTTGACTACTGCATAAACATTTCCTGTAATGCTAACAAGGAGGATTTATTCGACAATCAAGAGCTTCTTCTTTATATGTTGTTGATCATTTCTTTATTATCGTGTCCTCAAAGTTTGATTAAGGATGATGTTGTAAGGAGAAATTAGATCTGACAAGTCACTCTGAGGGATTAAAGGATTAACATATTTTCAATAATAAAAGCAAACTATTACTTACACTAACAGTAAGAGAAGCAAAGTCAGATACACCAGGAACTGTTGATAGAGAATACAAAACTTTAAGTTTTTTTGTTTGAAAAAGAAGACTAATGAGACAAAAATATTATTCTCAGTTTCTATGCATACCAGAATTCTCTTACCCCTTATACACACTATTACCTTAGAGAACACTTAGAAATTCCCCAGGAGAACAATATCAGGTAAAGATGTCAATTATTTTTAAGCAGTCTTTTCCATGGGAAAGTCAGGATATATTTAATCAACCCTATCACTCCCAAATTCTCATTAGTAATTCTTCCTACGGTCTGCTATAACATTTTTGTGATGTTAGTTATGAGAATTTGGTTTTGAATCTACTAAGAATTTTGAACTTTAATATATGATATTTTTTGTTATTCTTACCACTTGTTTGCTTGATATAGTATTGAAATTATAAGGAGAAATTTTATCTTGGTCAATCAAGGGAGTTAGGGAATAAACCAATAACATACACACATACATGCATATTTGTTAACCCTTTAACTTCCAAAGGTGATTGCCAAGTAACTTCTCCCTATAGCATCCATACATGATACAGCAAACAGGTAGTGAGAATACTCAAACTTATCAGGTACAACTTATTACCTTGATTGAACACCAAATTCTCCTAATAAATTTTACAAAGAAATGTGTAGTAGCTAGAGGGGAGAAGTGATAATCAGATCTTTGGAGTTAAAGGGTTAAGGTTAAAATAATGAAAATACAAATGGACAAATCCTATAAAATATTTCTATTATGAAAGCACCATAAATGCTCATGGCCGATTCTATATGTTAAATTTTGATTTTTTATGTTAAAATGTTTAACCAGCTCGAATTTTTCATTTGTTTGTTTTAAATTAAGTTACCATGATCTCATATCAAGGAAAAGAAAAATAAAACTGCTTTAAAGCTTTTCCTACACCAATGAAAAATTTGAACCAAAACAAATTTATCATACTCACACCAAATATTTAAGAGTATGTCAAGTGATAAGCTACATTAGTCCTAGAATTTAAACTTACTCTGTTCGGGCCACAAATCCGGTGAAGCTCTGTCCAAACGTTCAAAACTTAGCAGACCTTGTAGACTTTGATCAAGCTCTGCAAGAGAGAGAGAATGCGATTGCCCCTTGTAGGCGAGTTACATAAAAACTAGTCTTAATCGGCAAAAATGAACATAACAACGCCACAAACCTGGACTCGGTGATTCCATTTTACTATTGCTTGCAATTAAACTGCAAAATGATGCAGGTAAATCAAATAAACAGACAAAAACACTAGCCAAACAACTGACAAAGACGAAAGAAAATTCAACTTCTCCGCCCTGAGGAGACACAGTCATCCCCAGTACTTACACCTTTCGCAATATTTTCCAAATATGGTGAAGGGTCCTCTGGGAGTCTCACGTGTTTTTTAGTTGCTGCCCCCAGACCCTCCTTCCAAGACCGCCTGAACGTTCCATCTGACCCGAGACGACATTTCACAAGTACTGTCGTCGAAAATGCTTCGATCCGCGTCGTCTTTCTCGCGCTTACTTTGTAGAGGTGAAAAGGTGAGGATTAACTACTTCTTCTCTAAAGTACCGTCTTAAGAGATATTTTGATGGCATTGGCCAGTGTAATAAATTGATACTGTTGTAAATTACGAAATGTCTCTAGTGGTGCGAAACCTATCAGAGCCAAACTAAATATGCTTTGTTATGGAGGGAATCACTTAACCCCAAGAGCGCATATTTTTTCGCTCTAGCACTGGTTATGAAGAATTTACTACTAGTTCACACATATCAAGAAGAGATGATGATCTCTGGTGATTTGCCCCTCTGGGACACCACCAATGACGTTTACAGAACATTGCTCGTGGGGTAAACGTTTAGACATAGTTTTATCTTGGATCTGGTGGCATTTGTTTGAAAATGAAACTATGATGTTACGGTAGTACTGGGCAATAAAAATGTTTTTCCTGGGACAAATTCACAAACTTTCTCCCTAAAACCACAGTAAAGATGGTTTCTGGATTCTTTTTTTAACCTTTTTGTGATGTAAGATCTCATTAGTAATTCTCTTTACTGTCTGTCATCTATCTCTTATGATGATAGTTGGGATAATTTGATGTTTGATCAAATAATAACCCCCTATGTTGTAATAATTAACAATTATTCACCAAGGTGGATGTAGACATTTACTGAGCCATTAAGTAAATATCCACCACTTCCACTGACACTAAAGTGAATAATTGCTTTAGCATATACCACACTGGTTTATTTCCCCCTATATACCTAAAAATGGTTGGAAATTAAACTCTTGACATGCGATTTTGTCTCATTGGCTGCTCCAAGGTGAATAGTTCTTGCTATTCACATCTGACGTAGTCAACAAGGATGCATGAAAAGAGCTATTCACTTGTGTGGTATATACTAACAACATACCCCTTCATTCTCATTTCTGGTCAGCTTGATATTGTATTGAGTGACAGGGGCAAGTAAGGAGGAGAGGAAAGGGAGGCTGGTTAGCATGGCTGTTACTACCTCTGGTACATGGCTGAAAGAGATGGTCACTCTACAAATTCCAAAGTTGTTATGTCATCCACTAGAAATTAAAAACAAAATTGTGTGAGGACTATCAAGAATTGCCAGAGATTTTCTTATAACTACCTAAGTTGGTGTCTTGTACCTAAGATTTCCAAATGAATTTTAAGCTTACCTTCCTACCAGCACTAGGTGAATTAACTGCAATATGCTTAATTTCTTTTTAAAATTCTTCTTTTGATTTCACAGACAGCTCCTTTGGCAGCAGCATGCAAGAGGTTTTATGGAGATGGTGTAAGTACTCAGATCTTTTGCGTCAATATTTTGAGACCATTTTATTTAATTATACTGTTCGATCCTTTTCATAAATAAAGCGGCTCCTTGTGGTATTTCCTTCAGTTGTCTTTGTGAACAGTTTCTTAAAAAAGTGGATGATACAATGGTTCAATAACTTTTTCCATATGCAGCTCCTGATGGAGTAATTGACAGCTGTGCCTTAAATGCAAAATCCAAACATGGCAACCTGTTCACAGGCTAAACCATTTAACTCCTAAGAGTGACAAAAATGTAATTTCACCTCATAGTATCACCCCTAGATCACACATTAAGGTCATGAAAGTAAAGCAAATGATCACCAACTTAAGAAGCTCTTGATTGTTAAACAAATTCTCCTTGTCAGCACCTCAAGAAATGTATAGATACCAGTATGGAGAATGTGTATACTGATGTTAGGGTGTAAAGGGTTACCAGACAGCAGTAGAAGGTTGCACAGGCAGTGCTAGGCGACTGTTAACTGGCTTTTACTAAAACCACTGTGTTGTATGATCTAATTGGTTATTTACTTTACTTTCTCATGACCTGATTCAGGGGTAATGGTTTAAGAGGAAATTAGATGTTAGTCACTCTGAGGAGTTTAAGGGTTAAAAGTTTTGTGTGGCCTTTGAACCACTTGGGCCTTATGGGCAAGTGATTGTATTGTATACAGTAAATGGTTTGAATGCGGGGGTAACATGTGATAGTGAAGACTTATCATCTGAGTGAGTGTAATCCTGAGAAGCACTGTTTTCAAAAGTGGTGACTGACATTTCAAAAACCTGAGCAACAGTCATCATCAGAGTCAAGTGAAGAGTTGTTTGTCAAATGCTGTAATTCCAGATTATACTTTCTTGTAGTTACTGAATCAGGAATTGAAGGTTTTGTATGCTTTTTTCACAGTCAAACACAAAACTTTTTATCAATGGTGAGTTTGTGGAGTCAAAGACTGACAGATGGATTGACATTCACAATCCAGTAAGTGCATATTCACAGACTTTGGGAAAACTTATTAATCATTCCCTTATATTTAGAGCAATACTTTTATCCTTTTGAAAGAAAAAGGAGTCTTTGGACCCAGAATGCTTATTATTTCTCAAGGATCATAACAAGTTTACCTTGGTAGCATGAAACCCATAAGTTTTTTCAAAGGTCTTGAAGGCTAAGGTTTTTAGAAAAGATCTATGTTTGACTTACTATCTTTTAAGTCTTTTTTGTGTCACATATATTTGTGTAGACTAAAAATACCTCAGGAATGAAACATTGGAAAAAATTAAACAAAGGAAGGGCTAATACTTGAATCATTAGCTTTGTAAATCTTTGTGGTGGCCAATTTACATCATCAACTCAGTTGATAATACTAAATTACCCTGTTACACTCTCTTACCAATGCAGTACCAAATTTTTTTTCAGAATTGTACCCCCTTTATTAATGTTGTTGTTTGTCTGGCTTAAAAAAATGGCAAAAATAAAGATGACAATGATAAAGTCTTAATAAAGCCTTTTCTCTATAACTTTAACAACAAATTTTGCATGTCACAGAAAATTTCATGACACAGCTCTCTTAACTTTTAGTCTTGAGAGAATGTTTTTGTTTTTCCCAAGGCTACAAATGATGTGATCTCCCGAGCTCCAGAGACAACAATAGATGAAATGGAGTCTGCTGTGGCTGCGGCAAAGGCAGCCTTCCCAGCCTGGGCAGAGCAGTCTATCCTGTCACGCCAACAGGTCATGTTCAACCTTCAGCATCTGGTGAAAAAGCACATGGTAGGAAACAATACTGATAAGGAAATGTGGCAGCATAGTTAAGTGTGCTTAACCTGGCACTAGAAATCAGAGTTCAGGTCTTGGCAGGGTCATTGTGTTATGTTCTTGAGTAAGAAACACTTAAATATTAACTCTCATAGTGCCTGCCTCTGCCAAGGGGTATAATTTTTGTACTGGTGAATTCAACATAGACATACTCTCTTTGTGCCATAGGAGACAAGGGGATCTGAGTTTAGGTTTTGGCCTAGTCATTGTGTCGTGTTCTTGGGCAAGACACTTTACCCTCATGGTGCTTGTCTCCACCCAGGAGTATAATTTGGTAGTAGTGAACTATCAAGGAAGCCCGACAAAATGCTCGAGGGGCTTCCTGAAATGGACTTGTGGTTGAGTTGGTTGTTGGTCCTTGTCCTTACTCCAGACATTTTTCTCCAGCTCATCCAGTTTTTGTCCCTCTACAAAAACCAACATTCTAAATTCCAATTTTACCTGGTAGCAGTAGACAAGAAGAGCCACTTAGTAGAATGTCCTCTGCTAAATTTCATTTTATTTATTACCATCCAGTGAATTCAAAGTAGATATACTTCAACCCTTAAACTCTCAGATCAAATTTGTAATTCTCCTTACTGTCAACCATACAATTCTTATAATGTTAGTTCAGAGAATTTAGTATTGGATCAAAAAATTATCCCTAAATTGATATTTTTCTTTATTCTCATCACTTATCTGGTAGATATTGTATTGATATTGTAAGGAGAAATTCTGTCTTGGTCACTTTTGGGGATAACTTCTGTAGGCTTTGGTTCTCTTGGCCAGTATGAATATTCTCATTATTGTAATCTCTATATCCTCCCGATGATGCAGACAATGAAGTTCTGTTAATAAGGAGCTTTTTTTATTTGGTGATCATTTCCTTTCTTCTCACAACTGTAATGATTGATTCATTGGCCATACTGTGAGGAAAAATTAGATGCTAGTCACTCTTGGTGGCCAAAGGATTAACCATGAAATAATACCACCAATGTTGGAATATGTTGGAGGGATTGATGTAGCTCAATGATATCTTTAAATGGTTATTATAGATAGACAACTTGTATTTTTTTTTTTGACAGGGAGAGATTGCTGACATCATCACCATGGACACTGGGAAAACTACGGCAGATGCTTTAGGCAGCGTGCAAAGAGGATTACGTGAGTTTGTGATTGTTTTGTCATCCCCTATAGCTTTTCTCCCTTAAACTTGAAATGGGACTTCAATCATTGTGTTCAGCTCATGAGAGTGTTGGGTCTGTTTCCCTGAGTGTTGGGGTCAATAAGTGAAAGAGGAGGTGGAAATGGCATGTGTCCTTTTTGACAAGGGGGCACCACTGCTTCACAGCTCTTAAAAGAAGGCTGTAGATCATGTGGCTGTGGATGGTCTGTAAAAAACAAAACATGTGAGAGGAGGTGAAGTTAGTAAATAAGGTAAGAAAAGATGGAGAGGATGATGTGGCAGCCTAATGCATAACAAAGTGCAATGAAGTTAGATACATCAATTGGTTATAATTTTTTTTCTTTTTTTTTTTCATTTCATTCAGAGGTTGTTGAACATGCATGCTCAGTTACCACTTTGCAGATGGGAGAAACTGTGTCCCAGATCACCAAAGATATGGATACATATTCTTATCGTGTTCCGCTGGGAGTCTGTGCAGGAATCACACCGTATGTGGAAACTTTATTATTGTCATTGTTA